AGGCACAATTTGCCCTTAGTGAAGCCATTTTACCAGCCCCAGAGACTGACCTTCCACACGAGCGTGACCTTTGGTGAGAAAACTGATTCTCATGCAAATCCTTCCACTCCCTGCCATTACAGCAAATGGCTCAACAACCTCTCCAAAAATACCCCATACTCCAGACAGAACAGCACCCTTGGCAGTGAGGAAAACCTTAGAAGGTGTGGTGTCACCTCGTTAATCCAGAATGGTTATGAAAGCACCATCCCTTGTGGTTCATGAAGGAGACTGCAACACATGTTCCATAGCTTGTTGAAACGACTCACCTTGGGATTTAGGTACTGTCTTCAGCGTTGCCAGACATGCTCATCACTGTCTCTGTACACATGATCAACTGACAGCTGACGCGTGGGATTTACATCTGTCAGACCAGGGTGTACACAGCTGACATGGCAAGGTTTTGGTAGCAAGGGGTGCTGCAGCGTGGCTTCTGTCAGAAAGCTCAGGGGCTGCCCTGTCCCAGACACAGACCGCTCCAGCTGGCTCCGAAACAGACTCACTGCAGGGCACAGCTGAGCCCATCAGCCACGCTGGTGGTGTCTCTGGGAAAACAAAGGGTAAAAAATACTGCAGGGCACCTCTGAGAGAAACTTGAGAGAAAGAGCCCTGCAGGTCAGAGGGGTAGCAGGAAGCACTCCAGACTCCAGAGCAGAGATTCCCCTGCAGCCCCTGGAGAAGACCATGGTGAGGAGGGCTGTCCCCATGCAGCCCACGGAGGAGTAGGTATCCACACTTCGGCCTGTGGAAGACCCCGCGCCAGAGCAGGTGCAGATGCCATGAAGGAAGCTACGGCCCATGGAGACCCCATGCAGGAGCAGACTTCTGGCAAGAGCTGCAGCTTGTTTATGCGCCCACACAGGAAGAGGGTCTTCTGGCAGGACCGGTGACCCTGTGGGGGATCTACACTGGAGCAGTCTGTTCCTGAAGGACTGCACCCTGAGAAAAGGACCCACGCTGGAGCAGTGGAGCAGTGTAAGCAGGAAGAAGCAGCAGAGTGAGTTTTATGGACTGACCACAACCCCCATGCCATATCACCCTGCACTGCTGGGGAGAAGGAGGTAGAAGAGTGAGGAATGAAGGAGTGAAGTTAAGTCTGAGAAACAGGGAGAGGAAGGTGGGATTAGTTTTGTCTTTGTTTCTCATCATCTTACTCAATTTTAATTGGCAATAAATGAAATTAAGTGTCCCTGAGTCTATTTGGCCTATGACAGTAATGGTTACATGATCTCCCTGTTCTTATCTCAACCCACAAGCTTTCCCATCTTATTTTCTCCCCCATCCTGTGGAGGAGGGGAAGTGACAGTGCAGCTTGGTGGATATCTGGCAGGCAACCAGTTAAGGTCAAACCCACCACTCATGGAGTCAGAGTAATACAGGAGAGACAGAAAGCACCTTCCTGGTTCAGTCCTACTGTCCTACAGCTACAAAGAGAAAGGTCCAAACCTGGAGAAGACGACCCTGCCTAAGCACACACATGCAGCAGGACATCCAGGGCAAGCTCAGTGGGGTGAATGTTGCCTAAAGCAAGGAGGTCAGGAGGAGCTGCTCTATTGCAAAGCTACAGACAAGACAGATGTATTCAAGTACCTAGTGGTAGGGCATACAGGCTCCTCGAGAGTTGCACAGCAACAGCACGTGAGGTAGAAGACACAGGCTACAACAAAGGAAGTACAAAAAAGAAATTTGTAAAAGACCAATGTTTCCCATGGGAATATTTAAACATTAGAGGAAGACATAGCGCAGAGAAGCCATCCAGCTTTGGAAATAATTCAAAACTGAACAAAACCCAAGCAATCTGATCAAAGTTGTTCCTGCTTTCAGTGAAGGCTGGGACCTGATGACCTCCAGAGGTCCTTTCCAACCTGCAGTACTCCTGACTGCACGAACATCCAATGGTCTGTACTGGTAAGACAACCAAACCCAAAAGATAGGTGTTCTCTTTGCAAAGTATACAGTTCACACATTTAAATAAATTTGAAAAAAAAAAAAAAAAGTCTTATTGCTTTATTCAGAATTTGACATAGCTCACTTCTATGTTCCTAGAAGTCCTGTTGAAGATATATATAGAAATCGCTGACTACTTTTCAGCAGAGATCAGCTTAAACCAAGTAGATTAAAATGATAGTAGAACTCCACCTGAATAATTTCTTACAAACTAAGCAATTCTTCCTTGGTCAAAGAAGAGCAATCCTCACAAAATGCATTTTCTGGCTTTTGGGTTGGGCTCCATTTTTGTTGTTTTAAGCAAAACTTTGAAATACTCTGTGGATATATTTTACATACTACAGGAATACAGGATGGCTTTATGAAATTACAACTTCCAAACTCTCTTCTGAGAGACTTGGAAAGTCATGTACTAGCAATCTTCTATCTTCTTTGATGTAAAAGTGCATACACATTCAAAGATTTTACACATTTCCCAGACATCTTTTGACATACACAGATCACACCAGATGTTTTTATTCTCAAGGGGAAAAAAAGCAGTTAAAACAAATTCACAATTTTAAGAAGTGTTCCCTGGAAAGTGTGCTACATTTTTTCTTCTGGGAAGTCAAACCAAGAGGATCTGTTGACAAGTCCCTTTGGCAGTCTTAGTGTCAATGGCTGTCTCTCTGGACACTCTAGGAAGGAAATCCTGGGGGAAGGCAGTTGACTGGAAGGCGCTGCTGGTGCTTCTTGAACGTAGCTGGTTTCTGTGTGAGGGGTGTTACTGCTGGTATCCACTATGCTAAGACTTCGATCAGCTGCGGTTTCTCGAAGTTCGACATCAGCATTTCTCATGTCACCATCTAAGTCTCCCTTTCGGGTAGGAACACTGTACTTCTCGGCTGCTCCTCCAGTTTCCTCACCAACTTTGTAAACATCTTCACATCCTGTCCTTCCCAGAAAAGAAGATGGAGACTCGTTTTCCCTCTCATTTATCTGAGTTCTGCCCATCCAAGTAATACTGCTGTCACATTCAGTACTTTCTGGCTCCTTGCTACTATCACTATCAATTGTAATCACCACTGGAGAAGAATGTGCCAAGTTACTCGTATGGTGCTTCCGGTGTTTCTTCTTGTGTTTTTTCTTTTTCTTTTTAAGATGCCTTGTTGCGTCTGTTGCTTTTCCTTCATAGACTATCTCCACACTTGGACTCCTCATCTTTTTTCTCTTTTTCTTACGCTTTGTCTCACTGCTTGCTCGATTGTCTGAAAGGCTATCTTCACTTCTGTAGCAGTCACTGAATTTTGAGGATGTTTTCTTGGGGTCATTTTCTCTTTCTAGACTTGTGGTCTCTGTGAACGCGCTCTCCAAGTGGCGAGTTTTGTACTTCCTTTTTCCACCAGGCTTTTCACTTTTCATCCTGTCAGTTCCTCCAGAAGGAGTCCTTGACCTGTTGCTTGATCGACTCCTTGACCTGCATCTTTCGTAACAGTAATACTGTCTCTCATGGAGTCCCTTCTGGCTGTGCGGATCTGTCCTTTCAATAAATGATCGTATCCTGTACTCTGGACTAGCAGACTGCCTTGAATAAAGAGCATTAGACTGAGTCCTCCTCCTGCTGGAGGATTCATAGCCATCTCCAAACACCTTTCGACTACAGAAAGCATAACCCCACTGATATTTGCTTTGATAATTGTCTCTCACATAATAACGATCGCTGTCTCTACTTCTTGATCTCCTTTTGCCATGGCCTTTGCTACGTGATCGTGATCTGCTTACTTCTCGGGATGGAGTGCTCTCATGACTCAGAGAGCCCCTCTGGCTTTTTAGAGAGGCTCTGGTGTCATGACCCCTCGACTTCCTGCCGCTTCTTTTGCTCCTATGTTTGCTACTGTCTCTGCTTCTCGATCGTCTCCTCTTAAATTGGTGTTTGCTGCGATGCTCCCTCCTAGACCGATGGCCATGACTGCCTCGACTGTACCGTGAACAGGCCTGTGGGCTCCGGGACTTTCCTTTTCTAGACAATCTGTGATTCCAAGGGGAGCATAGTGTGTCACTCCCTGGAGAGGGGCTCCAGCTCAAGTCACGATGAGACAGACCTTTTACCTTACATTTGTTCTTGTTACCGTCTTTTGACTCTGTCTTCTCAATTGGAGATACGAGGCTTCTACAACTACCTATACCCTCCTTATATGTTGGGGAATGTGGCGAGAAACTCCTGCTTGGTTCACTATCACTCCAGCTGCGGCACTGGATTGGCTGCTGTTTCTTCACAGTTTCCCTTTTCTCTTCCCTGATGGACTCCTCAGAGTCCGAGGACAGCTCAACCACTTCTGGGGTCCTCTCAGCTAATGGCTTAACATAGCCAACAATAACACAATTGTCTGAGGAAGAGTCACTGTCGTTTGAGTCACCATTAGCCTGTAACCGAGTTTGCAGTTTGGTTCTTCGACTCTTTGGAGCAGAGCCGTCATCAGAACTTTCGGACGTCTCCAGAGGAGAAGCTATGGTTGTACGAACCTCTTCTGAAATGGAATAGGAAGGCCCTGGAGTTTCATCATCCCAGGGTGCATGATCAAGACCAGTCACAGACAAACTGTTATCTGGCCCTTGAGAATACGCCACATCTGGAGATATTGTAATAATTGACGAGTCTGAGTGGCTTCCTTCATCATATGATGGTGCAGGACAGTCATAATTGGCATGTTGATCATATGCTTCTAAGTTAAAAGGACAACGAGCAAAACTGATGAATTCATGTAAGAAGTGTTCAGTCCGATTCAGCAAAAATGGCTTTAAATCGTCAGCAAAGGCCTGACTTTCCAGATCGAACCTAGTCACATTGCTCATGATAATGTGCTGTACAATGTTAACCAGAGATCCATGGGCACCAAACAGGACTGTAAGTTCTCGCTTCAGCCACGGAACCAACCTGTGAAGGCAAGCAGGGTTGTGGCGGAAGAACTCTGCTGAAATGTCTCGATAGCGGCCGCCATCCTGAATACTACGAATACGCACACCAGTACGGTACAGAGCTCTGCGGAAGTTGATCATGTCCTCCTCCTGAATCTGCCGAAGAGATCTGCCCTCTGCGCTAGCCTGCCTCCTCGAGGCCAGCCTGCTTATCATCTGCTGAATCTCTCCATCTCTCTGCCGCACTGGCTCACTGGACAACCCTTCAAATAATATCCCATTGTCTGGAGGGGACAGCGTCCTTCGGGAAGAGGAGCTCACAGTGCGGCGTTCCCCTGTTAAGGTGGTACGGTAACGAAATCTCTGGCCATCAGGGCTGGCAAAAGAGCTGTTTTCTGAAGGGCTGAGTACATATTCCTTAAAGTCATCTTCAGCACGAATTGTATGGAAAATAGAAAAGAAAGGTTGCTTGCAAAGAGGGCATTCTGCTTTGTTTTTTGACCACTCCTGGACACAGCGAAAACAGAATCTGTGCAAGCAGCGATCGAGATACGCAACATTGTCAAATCTATCCAAGCAGATAGGGCATTTTGAGTCAGGAGACGCATCCGTTGGCAGCTTGCTGGTGCTGGCCTTTGGCGAAAAGCTGCTATCTTCTGGAAACTCCTTATCTGACGAAGTCATGTTCTACAAAAGAAAGAGACAAAAGATGACTGCTGTCTCAGACAGACAAAATTCTTAAAGTCTAGACACAGTAAACCCATAACAATTGCCTTCACTGTTGCAAGATGCAGCATTAGCACTGACAAAACATCGAACAAAAAGGCAACTTGACCTAACTACTTTGCTTGGCTTCTCTTAACAGTGAGATCTGGTGAGCGTTGCAAGTTTTAAACGGAGCTGGAATTATGCTGGCATGTATGAAGGTAACAGGAAGGACTCTGTCTTCTTCCCTACTCATAAATAACTGCTTTGACATGGTTCAGTAACTTTAAGATTAACATGGTATCCTCCAAAACACACTTCCAAAAGACAGCAGCGTTTACATATGAAAAATACGACAACAGTTAGTGCTGCCCTTTAAGAAAAAAAGCTAAAACAAGTAATTGCACTCAAACTAAACCACCAGTTTCAAGCCTCTGCTGCATCTGTCCTGTTCCTGCACCCTCTGCCCGTGTTTTGCTGGGCACTCATGCTGGACCACAAATAGCTTCTTGGACTAGACAACCTCCAGGCGCATGTTCCAGCCTAAATTAGTCTTTGTTTTTGTGACTGCGGCAGAAACTGCCAGGTGCCATTCCTACACCCACCCTCAGGTACACGCTGCCTTTATATCTAGGCAGCCCGTCAAGCACAGTTAGGATTAAACCCTTCTATTTTAAAGTTATTTTAGTTATCAGCGTTACCCTACGGCACACAATTCAGCGGAAATAAGTTACCGTGCTGCTTCAGAACTCGTCAGCCCATGTGTCGCAGCAAGCCCGGGAGCAGGTGGTAATCCCCTGCAGGACACCGGGCAGGAAGCATGCCGTGCAGACAGGCGAGACACACGCTGGGGGCATAAGCG